AGGAAAATCGAACTCAATGAAGTTCGAGAGGACGAAAACAAAGTCAACCTGACAAAACTGACAATCAAAGTACTTTAGAAGCAGCTAATGACATTGGTCAGAATCAAAATGACAATGCAAATGCTCAACCTATTACCCTTCGTAGGTCGCAACGGCCAAGATCTCAACCAGACAGATACCTCGGTATTGTCTTAACCAAAGATCAAGACATCCTAGTTATGGATAGAGATGAGCACACAACGTACAACAGGATATGAAGAGCCCTAACTCTAGGACTTGGTTCATTTGCCGAAGGTTACAAACCTATCGGTTGCAAATGGATTTTCAAGTTGAAAACAGACAAAGATGGAAATGTATTTATATACAAAGCTAGATTGGTGGCAAAAGGTTACAGACAAATTCACGGCGTTGATTATGATGAAACCTTTTCTCCAGTCTCCATGCTTAAGTCCGTCCGGATTATCCGAGCGATTGCTGCATATTATGATTATGAAATATGGCAAATGGATGTCAAAACCACCTTCCTTAATGGAATTTCGGAAGAAACTGTGTATATGACACATTCGGAAGGTTTTGTTGATCCAAACAATGCTAGGAAGGTATGCAAGCTTAAGAAATCCATTTATGGACTAAAGCAGGCAAGCAAAAGTTGGAATCTGAAATTCGATGAAGCCATTACTAAGTTTGGTTTTATCAAGAATCCAGATGAGTCTTGTGTTTACAAGAAGGTCAGTGAGAGTTACATCGCATACCTCGTCTTATATGTCGATGAAATATTACTCATTGGAAACAGTACTAAATTGTTAGAGTCCGTAAAGGGCTGGCTTGGTAAGTGCTTTTCAATGAAGGACTTGATAGAGGCACAGTACATATTGGGCATCAAAATCTATAGGGATAGATCTAAAAGGATGATTGGATTGAGCCAAATTACTTATATTGATAAGGTACTGGCACGATTTAACATGGAAGGGGCCAAAAGAGAGCACCTACCCATGTCACATTGCATAACTCTCAGCAAGAAGCAGTGTCCACAGACACCTGATGAGCGAGAGAGGATGAGTTAGTTTCCATATGCTTCTCTTATTGGATCTTTCATGTATGCCATGATATCAACTAGGCCTTATGTATCATATGCCTTGAGTGCTACGAGCCAATACCAATCACACCCAAGAGAGGCGCATTGGACTGCGGCCAAGAATATCCTAAAGTACCTGAAAAGGAACAAGGATAAATTCCTGGTCTATGGTGGCCAAGAAGACTTGATTGTTGAAGGTTACACTGACGCTAGCTTCCAGACTGACAGAGAAGACTCCAAGTCATAATCAGGGTACATATTCTGCCTAAACAGAGGAGCATTTAGTTGGAAGAGTGCTAAGTAGAGCATAACTATAGATTCTACAAATGAAGCCGAATACTTGGCAGCTTCGGAAGCAGCTAAGGAGGCAGTTTAGATTCTTAAGTTCATTAGTGAACTTGATGTTGTACCCTCCATCAAGGGTCAAAAAGACCACTATTGTGATAACAATAAAGCTATTGCTCAGGCTAGGGAGCCAAGGGAACATCAGAAGGTCAAACATGTCAAGCAGCGATTTAACATGATAAGGGAATGGAAGTCTGTGGGTGAAATCAGAATTTGTAATATTGGAACGAATGACAATGCAGCCGATCCATTGACTAAACCTTTTCCTCAAGTGAAGCAATACAAGCACGTTGAGGCAATGGGAATCAAGCATGTTGGAGATTGGCTTTGATTTCCTATATATGTGTCTTAATTAAACTTGATGTCTTAATGTAAAACACTATGTCAAACCATTCGGTTTTGGAGCAATTAAATTTTCTGCAAATTTATTATTACTCCATTTCTATTTAATTGTGGTTTAGAATTAAATAATGAGTCCAATCGATTTCTGAGAACATTCAAAACAGGGTATCAAGACCATGTCTTGGATAAAGAAACAACTGTTAAGTGAACATTGAATATTTCAATTGAAAATTGTCCCTAATGAAGGTCATTTAAACGATGCACGATTAATAACCACTTGAGATTAGTGTGTAGTATGATTTATAGCAACGTTTCTTGTGCTATGAGGACATAATTGTCATAAATCATTTGCACAGGTATTGGTTTAGAACTATACCAAATCGACCTATGAAAATACTTTAAGAAATATAAAATCGACCTATGAGGACATAATTGTCATAAATCATTTGCCTAGGTCCTCTTAGTAAGGGAAGCTAACAATGCAAGACTGGGAATGTCCCCCCTATTAACAGTAGGGAATATGTCTTTGTTGTTTATCAGGCCTCTTGAAGAGCGAGAGTGTGAAAATGGATGGTCGTGCTCAGATGGATATTAGAAATCATCTGCTTATTGACAGTCGAACTTGGAAATCGAGAAACACTTCTGGACGTAATAAGGATGACAAAGAATCTTACCTTATAGTTTATGAAGAGACATTAAGCGACATAGGAAAAGAGCTATACACTAATTGCACACTTGCCCGGAAGGAAAAGTGGGAGATTGAAAGAAATGGTGTCCTTCCAACAAGTGTATTATTCCGATAGAGGGTTCGGAATTATTAGAAAGCTAATTATTCAGTAAGGTTAAATGATCGGAATGCCTAGGTGGAGGCGCTTCTAATCAATAATATTAGTGCATAATTAATATAACGGCTTAATCTAGACTGAACCTTTTCGGTCGCACCCCAGTCGAATAACTGATCCGAGACGACGAATCAATCCGAAGGATTAGATGAGTCATTAGAGTATTATAAACAAAGACTTTGGATGTCGAGCTTAGAGCGTCAAAACCGAGCGTCATAAGTCGAGTCGAGTTTGGAATTTAATGAGACGAGAAATCAAACAGGCGACAAGTTTGAGCTAAGTCGTAGCATCGTGTTAACCTAGCCATGCGAGTGCTAGGCTAGCCTAAACTACGCACCATGCCAAGCTTGTTAGCAGTGCATGCATGCTAGAATCGCATGTTAGCAGCGCTACCTAGCCAGCTGGTGTGGCATTGCCAGCATCACTGGCGCGCTAGGCGTGTTAGCATGCTAATGCCTCGCACATAGCAACCCTGCCGCAAGCATCGCAGGCAACATGCCTAGCTTGCATGCGTTGTGGCTATACATGCTTGCTATCACAGCAGCACCAGCCACACGCACCTGGGCCTTGCACAAGCACACCCCGCAGCAGTGTGCTGGCTAGCTAAGCTGCCCAGCCTTGGTGCTAGGCGCCAGCTGGCAGCCAAGGCAGGCTGCCAGCCAGCCAAGTGGCTTGGTCAAGCTAGGTCAAGGGAGGGGACCATTTTATTGGTGTTTGGCTTGGGGAGCAAGGTGTTTTGGGGCCCCCCTTTGGTGGTCCTCACCAACCTTCTCCCTCCATGTAACACTTAGAGCTTGTTGATTGCCTTGCATTTTTTTTTTTATTAAAATAAAATTGAGGAAAAATGCTAATCTCCCACATTGATGGGAGAAGGGAGATCAAGTCTCCATTCCCTATAAATACCCAAGTTTTGGGTTTGGGAAAAATCACTTGAGTTGAACTCAATAAGGCATCTCATTATTAGTGAGAAAACCTTTATGTTTGTAATACTCTAGTTTTATTTGGTCAAATCCCGACTAACCTTCGGGATTAAGACCGCTTGGGTCGAGTTGAGGGTGCGAGCCGTAGGAGGCCGTCGCACTTGCGAGGTTAAGCTTTCAAGTAAGAGCTCGTGAATCGAGCGAATCACGTGTTGAGGGTAAGAATGTCTTTTCTCCTTCTCTCTCTTACGGTGTTAATTATGGGATTACATGTTTAGTTGCTTTAATTAGTGGGCGGGTCTTGGGCGGGTTTCTCTTCCGCGTTGTGTCGGACACTGTGAAACCCAACATATTATGTCCTCGTAGCACAAGAAACGGTGCTATAAATCATACTACACACTAATCTCAAGTGGTCTTTAATCGTCCATCATTTAAATGACCTTGATTAAGGATAATTTTTTATTGAACTATTCAACGTTCACTTAACAGGTGTTTCTTATCCAAGACATGGTCTTGATATCCTACTTTGAATATTCTTAGAGATCGAAAGGACTCATTATTTAATTCTAAACCACAATTAAATAGAAATGGAGTAATAATAAATTTCCAGAAAATTTAATTGCTCTAAAACCGAATGGTTTAACATAGTGTTTTACATTCAAATCTCAAACTTAATTAAAACACATAACAGGGAAATCAAAGCCAATCTCCAACGTGCCTTATTCCCATTGCCTCAACGTGCTTGTTGTGCTTCACCTGAGGCAAAGGTTTAGTCAGTGGATCGGCCATATTGTCGTCCGTTTTAATCTTACAAATTTTGATTTCACCCTCGGACTTCCATTCCCTTATCATGTGAAATCGCTGCTTGACATGTTTGACCTTCTGATGTTCCCTTGGCTCCCTGGCCTGAGCAATAGCTCCATTATTATCACAATAGTGGTTTATTGGACCCTTGATGGAGGGTAAAACACCAAGTTAACTGATGAACTTACAAATCTAAACTGCCTCCTTAGTTGCTTCCGAAGCTGCCAAGTATTCGGCTTCAGTTTTAGAATCTGTAGTGGTGCTCTTCTTAGCACTCTTCCAACTAAACGCTCCTCCATTTAGGCAGAATATGTACCCTGACTGCGACTTGGAGTCATTATGTACACAGTTACTTCCAAAATCCTGTTAAAGAAGGCGGTTTTGACATCCATTTGCCATATTTCATAATCATATTATGCGGAAATTGCTAGGATAATCCGGACGGACTTAAGCATGGCGACTGGCGAAAAGGTTTCATCATAATCAACGCCGTGAATTTGCCTAGAACTTTTTTCCACCAATCTAGCTTTGTATATAGATACATTTCCATCTTTGTCGGTTTTCAACTTTGCATGTAAGAGCTTTAACCATTGGATCTTGAGGCTTCATCATAACCCTTCCGAAGTGATCCAACTCCTCATTCACAACATCAACCCTATAGCATTTTTCAACCATGGGGGTCTTGAGCAACTTAGAGAACTCAAACACAATCTTTTCATCGGCAACCTCATATGTAATGGTGTTGTTCTTACAATTGATCACCGCCCCCAAAGTCTTAAGAGCTTCACGACCCAAAATCAAAGGAGTATCAACATCTTCTTCCATATCCATCACTAAAACATCACAAGGCACATAAATATGCCCAACTTGAATAGGAACATCTTCAAGCTCACCACAAGGTAATTTCACCGCACGGTCGGCCAATTGGATAGTCTTCCTTGTAGGGATCATTTCAATGTTAAGCTTTTGAGCAATGGATATAGGAATCAAACTAACACTTGCTCCAAGATCGGCTAAGGCTCCCCTAGCTTCCATATTCTCAATCTTTACCGGCAAAGTGAAACTTCCCGGATCCTTTTGCTTCTTGGGCATCTTATGTTGAACAAGTGCACTCACTTGATGAGGAAGAGTGATGAGCTCATCATTGAGCTTCCTCTTTTTGGTGAGAATATCCTTGAGGAACTTGGAGTATGAAGGCATTTGTGTGCAACTTCAATGAAAGGTAGGTTGATGTGCAAATTCTTCATCACACTAAGGAATTTTGCAAACTTGTCATTCAACTTCCTCTCCGCAAGTCAACCAGGAAATGGAACCGGCTCATCAAGATTCCTAGCTTCACTAGGAGTCGAAGTTGTATTCTCATGTTTAAGCTTCTTCTTCTCCATACTTCTTTCTTTCTCAACAACCTTCTCTTCTTCAACTTCCTTGTCTTCACCCACACTCTCTTCTCCTTCCTTCTTTTCCTCACTATCCCCCTCCTTAGGACCCTCATAGGATGTACCCGATCTCAATGTGATTGCCTTGCAAGAGTCGGGTTTCATGATGTTGGAAGGGTTAGTTGTGATTGTCCGGGTAGAGTAGAAGGTGAGTTGAAAGGGACTCTCCCGGCCAATTGAGCTAGTTGTGAATCAGCCATCTTGTTATAAGCCTTGACCTCTTCCATTTGTTGATTCATGACTTGAAGTTGCTTAAGAATTTGGGTTTGAGTAGAATCGGGTTGAGATGCTTGCTCTTGACTCCTTTGAGCCGCTTAATTTTGATTGTTGTATTGGTTTTGATTATTGTGTTGGTTGTTTCTTGGGTAATTTCCTCTTGGGTTTTGGGTTTTAAATGGATGTGGGTTTTGGTATTGAGGATTGGAGTTGTATGATTTTTAAGCTTGTTGATTCCATTGTTGAGGTTGGTGAGCAAATCCAGGTGGTGGTTGCCTCCAACATACTCCACCGCCACTTCCCCTATATCCATCTTGCGTGTGTTGTATGCCGCCACATGCTCGGGGATCAAACCTCCATAATCGATGTATCGTGGTTCGTTCACCACAATTTTGACAAGAAAAAGAATTGACTTGAGAGGAGCTTACCCCACTATTGACTCGTATTCAACTTTGGAAGCCCTTTTGTTAAAAGCTCAATTTGATGTTGCTATTGATCAACCTTTTCCAATTCATATTTTCCACCCTTCTTTGGTGCATTCCTCCTTCTACCACCCCAAGAGTAGTTCTTCACTACCTCTTCAATTTTTGTTTCAACTTGATTTTGGGGGACCTTAATCAATTGGCCACCCGCCCCCGCATCCAAGTTAGCTCTAGACATAGGTTCCAATCCATCATAGAAGAATTGCATGAGCAAGATTTGATTGTATTCATGGTGAGGACATGCTTGTACCAACTCCTTGAATCCCTCCCAAGCTTCACTAAGACTCTCATCCGCTTCTTGTTCAAATGATGCAATCTTCCTTCTCATTTCGGCGGTCTTTTCTTCGGAAATGAACCTCTTCAAGAATTCCTTGACTATCTTTCTCCATGTTGTAAGAGAATTTGGCTTGACTTGTTTGAGCCACTTCTTTGCCCTACCCGAAAGAGGTTATCGAAATAAGTGCATACGGATGTATTATTGAGAAACTTGATTGGTTTGAATCATGGCACAAAGCTCAAGGAATCTATCAAGGTGCTCAATAGGATCTTCACTTGGAGAACCCGAAAATTGTTCCGCTTGTACCATTCTAGTGTATTGAGGATGAATGGTAAAATTGGTTTCCGTGACGGGTAGCAAAATCCCTCATGTGAGCTCATAATCCTCGGGATTCCCAAACTCACGAAACAAAACATCATCTTCTTGTCCCGCCATTTCCTCGCTTTGAGAGTTTGAAGACCAAGAATCACTCTCACTATCAACAATAGCACCAAGACCTCGCCCCTCTTCTTGATAAAGTCTACGGACTTGTATTAAAGTGCGGTCGATTTCGAGGTCAATGTAATGTGTAGGAGGTCCTTGAGATCTCCTTTGCATCCACCAAAGCTAAGAAAACAATTAGCAATGACTAGAAAGAGATTAAAGGAACAAAATAAAGAGCGACAAATCCAATAATAACACAATAAGAGTGCAAAACAAGTCGTTTCCCTGGCAACAGCGCCAAAACTTTGATCGGGGGACAATAGGTCGTATCTACTACCCTAGATCAAATCAACAATTTATATTCCTAACCTAACTCTATCAAGTTTACACTAGATAGTGGTAAGCTAGGGTTGTGATAAGTGGCATTTACGCCACTATTCGGGATCATTTTTCCTACCATTTCCCTCCATTTATCGCTTGTTTAACCCTATTTTGCCGCGCTTCTCCGTATATTGCACAACAATGCTATTTCCCTCGTACTTCTCCTCTGATTTACCTTTTTGTACTGTTTTTGGGTGTTTTCCAGTGTTTTGCAGGTAAACCAATCGATACGTGAAGTAGAAGAAAGTTCGGGATAGTTTCGAGAGCCGGTTTCAATAGCAAATCAAGTGAGGAGCTTTAATCAGGCTGCGCGCCCAGGAGAGCCCTCTCTCCCGCTCTGCGCGGGTGCGCAACCCAAGAGAGAGGGCGCGCTCACCATCCTGCGCGGGCGCGATGATTCCTGTGCGGGCACGATGATTCTTGGAGAGGGCGCGCAGATTAGCTTGAACTCTTGAAGATACAAGGCAACTTTCTGTAGATGCCAAGCGCGCTCAGTAGAGGGCGCGCAGTGTACTTCGCGGGCGCGCAGATGTTAGTAGAGGGCGCGCACAATAAATTTCGCGGGCGCGCAGCCCTTAGTAGAGGGTGCGCACATCATCCTGCGCGGGCGCGCAAAGAGCTGTAGCGGACGCGCACGCTGTCAGCCCAGCCCGTTTTTAATTTCCCTATTTAAAAGCTGATTTAGGAAGGAATGAAGGCAGCTATTCCATTTAGGGTAATATGCTTAGAACATTTCTAGAGAGAGAATATCCTCCATTGATGCTTGTATAAGTTTTTAGAGAGAGAAAATTCAGATTCTTAGTCTTTTATCACCCAAACTTAAATCTTTAATCTAGATTAGTGCTTTGATCATCCTTGTAATCAATATTGGAGCATTCTATTGGATTTTTGATGGTTCACCATTGAAGGTTCAAAGACCCATTTTCTTATTTCAATAAAAGTTGAAGCTTTGTGAGCTCTTTCTATCTTAATCTCTTTTATTTTGGTTTATTTACATATTTCAAGTATTTTTGATTGTTATGTTTATGATTTTAATTATGGCCAATATTTTGGGTATTGTTGATATGAGTAGTTTCTCTCTCCTAGGCTAGACTTTTAGCTAGGGGAAGGGGAATGGATGACTTGGTTGCTATTTGATTAAATACTTGATTTTTGGGGATTTAAACTCTTGTTGTATGAACTTGTGCTTATTGTTATATGGTTGATGTTGTGCACCATTGACTATATTATTACATTTCCTAATTAATGCGCGGGAGTGATCATGTTAGGATAGATCGTAGTTTATACATTACTTAATCAATTGCATGGGAATGAGTTGTGTTAAGTAGGATTTTTTGGATCCCTTGTTTGTGAATCCTTGATTATCTATGTGTTAAGTAGGATCGTAGTTTATACATTACTTAATCCTTGATTATCCGGAGGATTATGAGCTCACCGGTGGGATATTGCTACCCGCCACGGACACTAACTTCACCATCCATCCTCAATATACAAGAATGGTACAAGCGGAGCAATTTTCGGGTTCTCCAAGTGAAGACCCCATTGAGCATCTTGATAGATTTCTTGAGCTTTGTGCCATGATACAAACCAACCAAGTTTCTCAAGAGTACATCCGAATGCACCTATTCCGACAATCTCTTGCGGGGAGAGCAAAGAAGTGGCTCAAGAAAGTCAAGCCTAATTCTCTCACAACATGGAAGGAAATTGTCCAAGCATTCTTGAAAAGGTTCATTTTCGAAGAGAAAACCGTCGACATGAGTAGGAAGATTGCATCTTTTGAACAAGAGGCGGAGGAAAGCCTTAGTGAAGCTTGGGAGAGGTTTAAAGAGTTGGTGCAAGCATATCCTCACCATGAATACAATCAAAGCTTACTCATGAGGTTCTTCTACGATGGATTGGAGCCAATGTCTAGAGCCAACTTGGACGCGGGGGCGGGTGGACAATTGATCAAAGTGAAAGGAATGGTGTCCTTCCAACGAGTGTATTCTTCCGATAAAGGGTTCAGAATTATTACAGAGCTAATTCTTCAGTAAGGTCAAGTGATCGGAATGCCTAGGTGGAGGCCGCTTCCGATCAGTAATATCGAGGTACAAATGATATTGCAACTTTAATCTTAACTGAACCCTTCGGGTCAAACCCAATCGAATCACCGATCCGAGATGACGAATCAATCCGAAAGGATTTAATGAGTCGACAGAGTTTTACGAATACAGACGTCGGAAATCGAGCCTAGGGCGTCGAGACCGAGCGTCGCAAAAATCACAAGCAACAAGTATGAGCGTAGCCGTAGCTAGGCTAGGTTAGCTCATCGCATGCATAGGTGCACCATGTGTGTGCTAGGCGCACCATGGTGTTCTAGGCAAGGCACGAGTGTTAGGCTCCATCGCAGCCCTAACATCATGCCTAGGCGCGCATGGCTAGCCTACCGCACCAAGCATAGCCATCGCAGTGCTGGGCACTAGCGCATGGGCCTGTGCGTGCATGCCTTGCACCATCACAGCCCTATCACGCCAAGCACAGCACCCACATGTGCGTGCATGTGCGTGGGCACTGTCGCAGCACCCTAGCATCACGCACAGCACCATCGCAGTGCTAGGCACATGCGTATGTGCGTGTGCACCATCGCCCAGCAGCCTCGCAATGAGGCACGAGTTGTGTGCTTGCGTGCGTGCCTTCGCATGGCAGCACCAAGCACAACAAGCTAGCACGCAGCACCAAGCCCAGTATGCGTGGCTCGCTAGCAGCACGCATGCTAGGCCTTGCGTGCGTGAGTGCGCTGGCTGGGCTGTGCGTATGCTGGCCTAGCTGGCTGGCTGTGCGAGAGGCCCTGTGCGAGTGTGTGTGCGAGGAATTACTAGGCAGCAGCATTATGCTATCAGCGCCAGCGCCCAGCAGCTCGCAACGTGCTAGGGGCTGATGCGTGCTAGGCCAGTGCGTGCTAGCACTGCTTGCTAGCACAGCAAGCTGGCTGGCTGCCCAGCCTTGGTGCTAGGCGCCAGGTGGCAGCCTTGGCAGCCAAGGCAGGCTGCCAGCCCAGCTATCTATGAGATGTCGGTTTTGGTGAGGGGTGGGGACCAAGCTTGGGCAAAGCCTTGAGGAGCAAGGCAATGGTCCCCCCACCCATTCATGGTCCTCACCTAACCTTCTCTCTCCACTTGACACTTGTTGCATTGTGATTGTGTTTATTTATTAATTTATTTTAGAAATAAATTAATTAGAAAATTAAACATTCTCCCACATTGGTTGGGGAATGAAATGCAAGGGTTCATTTCCCTATAAATACCAAGCTTGGGTATTGGGAAATGAACAACCTTGAGTGGAATTAAAAAGGCAACTCTAAGAAAAGAGTAAACCTTTGATTCGTAAAACTCATAGTTATTTTGTCCGGGTCTTGACTAACCTTCAAGACTTAGGACGCTCGGGTCGGGTCGAGGGTACGATCCGTCGGAGATCTCGTCTTTTCGGGATTTTTGAAGTAAGAGCTCTTTGGGAGCGAAGCACGCGTCAAAGGTATAATTCTTGCTCTTAATCTTGTTTGATTAATTTTATTATGCTTGTTTAATTGCTTTAATTAAGGGCCGGGTCTTGGTGGGTTTCCTTCCGCGTAGTGTCGGGTTACTACGAAACCCTACACAAAGTCCCTCAAAACCAAGTTGAAGCAACAATTGAAGAGGTGGTGAAGAACTATTCTTGGGGAAGTAGAAGGAGGAATGCACCTAGAAAAGGTGGAAAGTATGAGTTGGAGAAGGTTGATCAATTACAACATCAAATTAAGACGTTGAAAAAAGGGCTTGCAAAGTTGAATACAAATATCAATAGTGGTGCAAGCTCCTCCCAAGTTAACTCTTTCTCTTGTCAAAATTGTGGTGGTACAAACCACGATACATCTTATTGTGGAGGTTTGAGCCCGGAGCATGTCGCGGCTTACAACACAGGGCAAGATGGATCTAGGGGAAGTGGCGGTGGAGTAGCTTGGAGACAACCACCACCCGGATTTGCAAATCAACCTCAACAATGGAACCAACAAGCTCAACAACCATACAATTCCAACTACCAAAACCAAAACCCTCCTCCATACCTAAACCAAATTCCAAGAGGTAACTACCAAAGAAACAACCAATCCAACTACCAAAATCAAACCCAATACCCACAAAAACATCAAGAGCAAACACAATCACAACCCGACTCGACACAAACCCAAATTCTCCAACAACTCCAAGCCATGAATCAACAAATCCAAGAGCTTAAGGCTCGCAACAATATGGTTGATTCTCAATTAGCTCAAGTGGCCGAAAATTCTTCCTTAAACTCTTCTTCTAAACTACCCGGACAACCAAACACAAACCCATCTCACAACCTCAAACAACCCGACACATGCAAGGCGATCACCTTGAGATCGGGAGCTTCTTATGAAGGCCCAAAAGGGAGTGAGGAGGTAGAGAAAGAAGGGGAAGATAAGAAGGGAGATGAGGAGTTAAATGTTGAGAAAGAAGTTGAATACAAGAAGTCCAAGGGTAAGGACCTCATTGACACTAGCAAGTATGATAATCCGGTACCTTATCCCGGGAGGGTTGCGGAACGAAGGTTGAATGACAAATTTGCAAAGTTTCTTGATGTGATGAAAGGGTTACACATCAACCTACCTTTCCTTGAAGTGGTGACACAAATACCATCTTATGAAAAGTTCCTCAAAGATATCCTATCGAATAAAAGGAAGCTCAAGGATGAATTTATTACACTTCCACATCAAGTGAGTGCGCTTGTTCAACATAAGATGCCAAAGAAGCAAAGATACCCCGGAAGTTTCACATTGCCGGTCAAGATTGGCAACTTGGAGCCCAAAGGAGCTCTATCCGACCTTGGGGCTAGTGTTAGCCTAATGCCATTGTCCATTTCTCAACAATTGAATATCGAGATGACACCCACAAGGAAGACCATTCAACTAGCCAACCGATTGGTTAAGTTGCCTTGCAAAGAAATTGAAGATGTCCCCATTCAAGTGGGACACATTTATGTACCTTGTGATTTTGTTGTAATGGATATTGAGGAGGATGAGAACACTCCTTTGATTCTTGGAAGGGAAACATTGAAGACATTAGGGGCCGTCATTAATTGCAAAAACAATACCATTACTTGTGAAGTAGCCGATGAAAAGATTGTTTTTGAATTCTCTAAGATACTCAAGACCCCCATGGTTGAGAAGTGTTGTAGGGTTGATGTGGTAGGTGAGGAGTTGGATCATTTGGGAAGGGTTATGATGAGCCCTCAAGATCCAATGGTTGAGGCTCTTACATGCGAGGAAGAGTACTACTCTCACGAGGCAAAGGAGTTTGTCATGACTATTGAAGAAGCCAAAAGAGAGAAAGAGAACGATCCTAAGCATGATGAGCTAGCACAAGAAGAGGAGAAATTGGAGGAGAGTTCTAAGCCTCCTCCCAAGGTAGAACTCAAACCCCTTCCCCCCTCTTTGAAATATGCTTACCTTGGAAATGAAGGGGAATACCCGGTTATTGTCAATGCTACCGTTGATGGGCTTGATTTGGAAAAATTGCTTGACATTTTGAGAAAATATAGAAGTGTGATAGGGTATAGCATTGATGATATCAAGGGTATTAGCCCTTCGTTGTGCATGCATCGAATCCATCTTGAGAATGATGATGCCACCTCCATTGAGCCTCAAAGAAGGTTAAATCCTAACCTTAAAGAGGTAGTAAAAAAGGAGATTTTGAAACTACGTGAAGCGGGGATTATCTATGCTATCTCCGATAGCAAATGGGTAAGCCCGGTTCACGTAGTTCCTAAGAAAGGTGGCATGACCATACTCAAGAATGAGAAGGGAGAGGACATCTCCACCCGAACGGTGACCGGGTGGAGAATGTGCATTGATTATAGGAAGTTGAATAAAAATACAAAGAAAGATCACTTCCCTCTCACTTTCATTGACCAAATGTTGGAAAGGTTATCAAGGCATGCCTTCTATTGCTTCTTAGATGGATACTCGGGATTTTTCCAAATCCCAATCCACCCTAAGGATCAAGAGAAGACCACTTTCACTTGTCCTTATGGGACATTCGCATACCGAAGGATGCCCTTTGGCCTATGCAATGCCCCATCGACCTTCCAACGATGCATGACCTCCATTTTCTCTGAAATGTTGGAGAATGAAATTGAAGAATTCATGGATGATTTCAGTGTAGGCGGCTCCTCTTTTGACATGTGTTTATTTAACCTTGAAAAAGTCTTGAAGCGATGTCAAGAGACGAGCCTTGTTTTAAATTGGGAAAAATGCCATTTTATGGTTGAGGAGGGGATTGTCCTCGGCCATAAAGTGTCAAAAAATGGGATTGAAGTTGATCCGGCTAAAGTGTCGGCAATAACCAAGCTACCCCCGCCTACTTCCATTACGGGAGTAAGGGCTTTCTTGGGGCACGCGGGTTTTTACCGGAGGTTTATCAAAGATTTCTCTACTATATCTAAACCTTTAACCGGATTACTTCAAAAGGATAAGATTTTGTTTTGATGAGAGTTGCCTTCGAGCCTTCAATAAGCTTAAGGAAGCTCTCACATCTGCTCCTGTAGTGCAAGCTCCAGATTTGAGCTTGCCATTTGAACTAATGTGTGATGCTAGTGACTTCGCAGTGGGAGCCGCATTAGGTCAAAGAGCAGGAGGCAAGCTGCATGTTATTTCCTATGCTAGTAGAACCTTGGATGATGCCCAAAAGAATTATACTACTACAGAAAAGGAGATGCTTGCAATTGTGTTTGCTATGGACAAGTTTCGGCCCTATCTTGTTTGATCCAAAGTGATAGTGTACACGGACCATGCTGCGGTTCGGTACTTAATGAACAAGAAGGATGCAAAGCCTAGGCTAATACGATGGGTCCTCCTTCTTCAAGATTTTGATATTGAAATAAGGGATAAGAAGGGGGCCGAAAACCATGTTGCCGATCACTTGTCTATATTAACTCATAATGATGTTGAAAGTGTTCCGATAAATGAGGAGATGGGTGTTGAGACCCTTATGGCTATCGCTTCTTCTCCTAGTCCGTGGTTTGCGGATTTCGCAAATTACCTAGCTAGTGGAATTATCCCATACCAATACTCATCTCAGCAAAATAAGAGGTTTTTCAAAGAAGTAAGGCGGTATTTTTGGGACGACCCATTATTATTCAAACAATGTGGGGATGGTATATTCCGGAGGTGTGTCCCGGACCATGAAATTGAGGGTGTGCTCGAACATTGCCATTCACTACCGTGTGGAGGACATGGTGGTGTGACTAAAACTATGGCTAAAATCTCTCAATCCCTTCTATGGTGGCCTACCATGCATCGTGATGCCCAACGATACATATCTAGGTGTGATAGGTGCCAAAGAGCGGGAGGCATCACAAAACGGGATGAAATGCCTCAATTGGGTATCCTTGAAGTTGAACCGTTTGATGTTTGGGGGGTTGATTTCATGGGTCCATTCGTGTCCTCATGTGGAAATGCTTATATATTGGTTGCGGTTGACTACGTGACCAAGTGGATAGAGGCTATACCATCGCCAACCAACGACCACAAAGTAGTCCTCAAGCTTCTAAGGAAGATCATCTTTCCAAGATTTGGGGTGCCCAAGACTCTAATTAGTGATGGTGGATCGCACTTTGCCAAGAAGCAACTTGAAGACTTCCTCAAGAAATATGGTGTCCACCATAAAGTAGGGCTCCCATATCATCCCCAAACCCAAGGCCAAGTTGAGGTATCGAACCAAGAGATCAAGAACCTACTTGAGAAGATGGTGAACCGGACTCGAAAGGATTGGTCCCTCAAACTTGATGATACTCTATGGGCCCTTAGAACGGCCTACAAAGCCCCGATAGGAATTACTCCATACCGGTTGGTCTATGGAAAGGCTTGCCATCTCCCGGTAGAGTTGGAACATAAGGCTTGGTGGGCCATCAAGGAGCTTAATATGGAACTTGGGGAAGCCGGAAAGAAAAGGTTGATGAAATTGAATGAACTAGAGGAGCTTCGTTTCGATGCATATGAGAATTCAAGGCTTTATAAGGAGCAAACAAAGAAGTGGCACGATCAAAGGATAAGGTTCAAGGAATTCAAGGTTGGAGATGAAGTTCTACTTTTCAACTCTAGACTTCGTCTTTTCCCCGGAAAACTAAAATCCAAATGGTCCGGTCCTTTCCAGATTTCTAATGTTACTCCTTATGGGTCCTTTGAGCTAGATGCGGGCGATCACAAGTTTGGGGTTAATGGGCACCGCATCAAACTCTATCATTCAGGGAACGAAGTTGGTCGTATTGAGTGCCTTAGGCTTGATCCTATGGATTACGAGCCTTCTCTTGTTGAGCCTTTATGAATCGGAACAATGGTCAAGATAATGACCTTAAAAAGAAGCGCTTCTCGGGAGGTAACCCGAGCCCCCTTTCTCCCTTCTATTCTTTGAATTTTTGATTTTCGTAACTAGATTTTATGATTGGATCTAATCCATAGTTGTTTTTATTGTAGGTCAAGTAGGCCCAAGGAAGGAGCACAATGAAGAGAATTAACGACATTCACGCGCTTTTGATGATCTCAGGATGGGATCTCTCGAAGCCAATTCCGTAATATAGGAATATTGTCGTTTTAAACTTGAACTTTTGTATGCTTTTGATGGGGTTGTAATATTTGATAAACATTTTAGTTTTATGTGTTAGGGATTTTTAGTAGAGTTAGAGAACTTTTTAAATTGAAGAAGTTTGGGAGTTTTCTGTAGATGCCTTGAGAGGGCTCTACAGGGCGCTCATGAGGTCTGCGCGGGCGCGCAGAGTCCCTAGCGCGGGCACGCACTTTCTGAAAAAAAAGGGCCAATGCTTCTGTAGTTGCCATTCGCGCCCGTGAAAGGGCTCTCTCACAGGTCTGCGAGGGCGCGCAAGATGTGTTCGCGGGCGCGCAGGTGGTTTTGCGTGGGCGCGCAAGTGGTGTGCGCGGGCGCGCACGATTTCAGTTCAGAAAAACGGCAGGTATGTGTGCTTTCACCCTCATTTTCACTCTCAATCTCTCACTTCTCTCTCTCCCCTAAACCCTAACCTCCATTGCTAACTTTCCTAATACCTTAAAATCCCCACCTTTCCTCCGCAAATCTCACTAAAAATTCATCAAACACTCACCAAAACCTCACTTTGCACACTTTTTCTCATCAAAAACCCTTTAATCTCACCCAAGAAATTTCAAGAAAACCCCAAAAACCCAAATCTCCCATTGCACGAAGCTTTCCTCCTTGGTGAAGTTTTCGTTCGAATTTTCATCTTCAAGAAGGTATATCTAACTCCCTAAGCCTAATTTATGTTACATTTTGATAGAGTTCATGATAGACTTCTTGAATTTGTGATGTTTGTGGGAGAAATTTTGACTCAATTGAAATACATGTGATATTTTTGCAATTCTTATGATTATATTGACATGTATATGAGTATTCTTGCAAATATGTGATTCTAATGAAATACTTGTGGATGATTTGCAATTTTTGGGATTTTCTTGAAATAGTTAGGGAATAGTTAGGGAATTGTGAATTGTTAGATATAGGTATTTGTGGGTTTATGATGTGTAAATTGTTGGCCATGAATTTCATGATGAGTGTGAGTAGTTTGGGAATTTTGAGAATTGTTTGGGTAATGTATATATCTCATGAGCTCCTTGCCTATTGACTAACTTTGTTACGTTGTTGTTTTTGTATTCGTTGTGCTAATTGTTGTTTTGTAGGATTTCACTTGGTAGTGCGATTGAATTTTTGGGTTGGTACTCTTCGAATTGTGGTTGGGGTTGATATTTTCGGTGTTTTGGTGTGAAATTCTTTGTTGTATAAACTTTTGAGAAGTGGTTGGGGAGAAGATGTTGAAATTCAATAGAAAACGATCAAAGAGTGGGACGGAACCACAACCCTCCCAACCTTCCCAACCCCAAAAAAATCAACCAACTTTACCACCTCTTACCTTCCAAAATAACAACCACGAAGCCAACTACAAAAAAATGAAAGAGAGGAAGCTTAGACCCTCCAAGCACTATCACCGTCCTGCCACCACAAGCTTGGGTGTCGATGAAGACATTTGGGTACTCTTTGAGAACCTCAATTTGGGTACATTTGTGAACTTGAGCCAACCCTTGAATTCTTTTCCACTTTCTCCGGTGAAGCTGTGGGGGATGACGAATTTAGAGTAACCTTCCAGCTTTTCAACAAATCTCATTCACTATCCTTAAGAGAGCTCAACATTTCCCTGGACTTTAATCCAGATGCTAACCTTGTCGCTCCCGAGAACTCCTCCTTCGAAGGTTATAATGAAAGACATTGGTGGAGGGGGATCACCGGAAAAGAAGAGTTCAACACCCGCTACTCCTTAGCTAGTGAGATCGGTCACCCGGCCCTAAGAATCCTGCGCCGTATACTTGGATACGCTATTTTCAACAAGCAGGATTTAGGGAAGATGTCTAGGGAGGATATTCTCACTCTGTGGTTCGCTACTCAGCCCACCTTAGGCCGAAGAGTGAACCTGGGCTACTTCTTCATCAAAAATTGCTTATCAATCACCAAGGGGAAGAAGACCGGCGAAATTTCCTGTGGGAGTATGGTAACAAGGTTAGCCCTGAATCTTGGGCATGGGGACCTCCTCCCCTCTTGCACTATGGTTGGGAATAGCAGTGATATCTTTCTCAATCTTGATCAATTTAAAAGGTTGGGATTCATTGCCTTCACCCCTAGATAGGGAGTTTATGATTGGTTGGTGTCTCATGCTCACCGTTGCTTTCTCCCAAACCCGGATCTTACCTCCTTCCAAAGGGAGTCTAGAAACATCTACTGGGTTAGGAGGGACAATGGTGTCCTTCCTGGAGCCGATCGAGGAGAGGGCCTTGTATTTGAGCAGGATGATGAGGAGATGGTGGATCAACAACAACAACATCAACAACATCAACAACAACAACATCAACACCAACAGCAACAGCAGCAGCAGTTCTTCCAAAGCCAAGGCTTGGAAAGCCTTGAGCAGCGAATGGGGAGCCTCCAGTTGGGTGTTCAAAGCGTATTTGAAACCCAGCAAGGTATGTTTCTCCAGCAACAGTCTATTTATGATATGCATGTAGATAGAGGCGATGTCACGCCTCCGGTCAATTATCCATATTGGCCTCCCCAGCATGGCCCAGTGCCATCGTGGGGGGGTGACAACGCCCCTACCTACCCCTATTGGCAAGGACCTTCCTAGCCAAATAGGGTGCGCCATGATTTCCCTGACGCATCCGGGTCCTATGACTATAGGTTACCGGGTGGTAGTGATTATAGGGGTGATCCCAATTACCCCTATGTTGACCCCACCCACCCCCAACCCCTAACCATGCCCCCCAATTCGACTCGTTGCCTTCTTGGCAACAAGACCTCTTCCGGGGTCATTATGGTTGGCCTCTAGGCTACACTGGAGGTTGGGATCCCCACGGCCCACCTGACGGCTTCTCCTACGGGGATACGGGGCCGGACTCCGGTGATGCTGGCCCTAGTGGGCACTAGCCCCCTGTTTTTCTTGGTTATTTCCCCTGTCCTTCCCTTCCTTTGTTTTGTCTTGGAGCAACGAGGTCGTTACTCCTTCTAAGTGTGGGGGGGTATAAGTGTCAGGAGTCGATTCTTTTGTATATAAGGGGCTTGCATCACTATAGTGTGGGGGGGAAATCTTAGCTTGCTGTCTATTTCCGCTGCTTTTATTTGATATCCTGTTGTTTTTGCTGTTTATGATGGGAAGATCTAATCCTTTGTATATAGTTTATGCTCCTTTTCTT